GGCCGTCCCTCCCACAAACTCACTTGGGAGCTCTGACCCGTCCTAACAGCAAACGGGAGGCGACATAGACATTACCCAGGAGGGCGACCAGGTCCGCCATGGGCTCGTGCAGGATCCCCCCGAAGCTTCCCGAGTGAAAGTCTTGGTCTCGGCACTTCACCTGGAAGTGGGGGCAGGGCGTGGGCGGGTGGCTGCCCCACGCCCTTCCCGAGAACGGCCTCCGCCCGCCCCCCCCCCACAGGCTGCCCAGGACGGCAGACCCCCGGCGGGGGGGTGCGCGGGTCACCCTACTCCTGGCAGGACCTCCTGGCTTCTGCCAAGCTCTCCCTGCTCTGTCCTCACGTCAGGACCGTGCTGGGTGACCCCCTTAACCGCTTCCTGCGGCGTGCCCTGCTCTCCCCACGTCTGCATCTGTGGGCTCCCGCTGACGCTCACCCGCACCCCTGCGCTGGGGTCGGGCTTGCTAAGGAGCAGGACATCGGGCGCTCCCGGCCTGAGATGCGGCAGGCGGGCGGTGGCTCCCCGGCTTGCCCATGGCCGGGGCCTGGGGTGGGGGGCCGTCCCGGCATCCCCGCCCTGGGGTGGCCTTGGCCCCTGCGAGCCTGCGTCCAGGAGACGCCGGTTTCTAACGTGGCGCTTTCGCTGCCCTCGGGCCCGTCCCCACCCTGTCCTGCCCCCTTCCTGCCCTGTCCACTGCGTTGTGAGCGGTCACGGGGCCCAGGCCGTGTTCTGGGCAGCCCCTGGGCGCGCTGCACCCCCGGGGCCCTGGCCCCGAGCCTCAGGCCCCGCGTCCGAGGCTGCCCTCAGAGCTGCGATCCCCACTCGCCCTCCCGGGCCCCGAGGTCCCTGCGTGGCCTGCTGCTTGCTCTCCCCCACCAGGGCCCGGGGCCACCACTCCGGTGTCTCTGTGGTCAGCACTGCCGCTTCTCCTGACTCGTCTCACCGTCCGGAACTATCGCACGCTGGACCAACCCTCCCGCGTGAGCGCAGCTCAGAAAATCTGAGCCCGAGCACGGGCGACGGGCACCCTCACGCAGCTGGCCCTCACCCGCTACCCGGCCCCCTCACCCCCACACCACTTTGGCAGCTGCTTCCCTGCGGCCAAACTCGCTCCCTACTCACAGGAGGCCCGCAGCCCGCCGTGGGCCCCAGAAGCAGCCAGGGCCTGGCCGCCTGCCTGCCCGCGGCCCTGCTGCCACAGACGCCCCCCAGCGGCCTCGGCTGCCCTCTGCCCCTCGCAAAGCTCCTGCATCTGCCCAGGCGGGGGGGACCTGCTTGCTCCGGGCCTCTCCCCTCAGGATCCAGAGCAGGGGCCTCCCGGTGGCCTGGGGGTTGAGTCCCAGGCTGTCCCCACCACGGCCTGAGCGCGATCCCCGGCC